AGATATGTTTTAAAATGCAATTTAAAGCATTTTTGGTTTTGATCATAGTAAGCTATTTTCAAAAAAATATCAATTTTATATCTATATTAGCATTCTTTATCATTTATAATACCTAGATATGTTTTAAAATGCAATTTAAAGCATTTTTGGTTTTGATCATAGTAAGCTATTTTCAAAAAAATATCAATTTTATATCTATATTAGCATTCTTTATCATTTATAATACCTAGATATGTTTTAAAATGCAATTTAAAGCATTTTTGGTTTTTGATCATAGTAGGCTTTTTTCAAAAAAATAACGAATTTACATCAATATTAGCATTTGTTATCATTTATAATACCTAGATATGTTTTAAAATGCAATTTAAAGCATTTTTGGTTTTGATCATAGTAAGCTATTTTCAAAAAAATATCAATTTTATATCTATATTAGCATTCTTTATCATTTATACTACCTAGATATGTTTTAAAATGCAATTTAAAGCATTTTTGGTTTTAGATCATAGTAGGCTTTTTTCAAAAAAATATCGAATTTACATCTATATTAGCATTTGTTATCATTTATAATACCTAGATATGTTTAAATGCATTAAATCGAATTTACATCTATATTAGCATTTGTTATCATTTATAATACCTAGATATGTTTTAAAATGCAATTTAAAGCATTTTTGTTTTGATCATAGTAGGCTATTTTCAAAAAATATCGAATTTATATCTATATTAGCATTTGTTATCATTTATAATACCTAGAAATGTTTTAAAATGCAATTTAAAGCATTTTTGGTTTTTGATCATAGTGGGCTATTTTCACAAAAATATCGAATTTACATCTATATTAGCATTTGTTGTTATTTATAATACCTAGATATGTTTTAAAATGCAATTTAAAGCATTTTTGGTTTTGATCATAGTAAGCTATTTTCAAAAAAATATCAATTTTATATCTATATTAGCATTCTTTACCATTTATAATACCTAGATATGTTTTAAAATGCAATTTGAAGCATTTTTGGTTTTGATCATAGTAGGCTATTTTCAAAAAAATATCGAATTTACATCTATATTAGCATTTGTTGTTATTTATAATACCTAGATATGTTTTAAAATGCAATTTAAAGCATTTTTGGTTTTTGATCATACTAGGCTTTTTTCAAAAAAATATCGAATTTACATCTATATTAGCATTTGTTATCATTTATAATACCTAGATATGTTTTAAAATGCAATTTAAAGCATTTTTGTTTTGATCATAGTAGGCTATTTTCAAAAAATATCGAATTTATATCTATATTAGCATTTTTTATCATTTATAATATGTACCTAGATATGTTTTAAAATGCAATTTAAAGCATTTTTGGTTTTTGATCATAGTAGGCTTTTTTCAAAAAAATAACGAATTTACATCTATATTAGCATTTGTTATCATTTATAATACCTAGATATGTTTTAAAATGCAATTTAAAGCATTTTTGGTTTTGATCATAGTAAGCTATTTTCAAAAAAATATCAATTTTATATCTATATTAGCATTCTTTATCATTTATACTACCTAGATATGTTTTAAAATGCAATTTAAAGCATTTTTGGTTTTTGATCATAGTAGGCTTTTTTCAAAAAAATATCGAATTTACATCTATATTAGCATTTGTTATCATTTATAATACCTAGATATGTTTTAAAATGCATTAAATCGAATTTACATCTATATTAGCATTTGTTATCATTTATAATACCTAGATATGTTTTAAAATGCAATTTAAAGCATTTTTGTTTTGATCATAGTAGGCTATTTTCAAAAAATATCGAATTTATATCTATATTAGCATTTGTTATCATTTATAATACCTAGAAATGTTTTAAAATGCAATTTAAAGCATTTTTGGTTTTTGATCATAGTGGGCTATTTTCACAAAAATATCGAATTTACATCTATATTAGCATTTGTTGTTATTTATAATACCTAGATATGTTTTAAAATGCCATTTAAAGCATTTTTGGTTTTGATCATAGTAAGCTATTTTCAAAAAAATATCAATTTTATATCTATATTAGCATTCTTTATCATTTATAATACCTAGATATGTTTTAAAATGTAATTTAAAGCATTTTTGGTTTTGATCATAGTAGGCTATTTTCAAAAAAATATCGAATTTACATCTATATTAGCATTTGTTGTTATTTATAATACCTAGATATGTTTTAAAATGCAATTTAAAGCATTTTTGGTTTTGATCATAGTAAGCTATTTTCAAAAAAATATCAATTTTATATCTATATTAGCATTCTTTATCATTTATAATACCTAGATATGTTTTAAAATGCAATTTAAAGCATTTTTGGTTTTGATCATAGTAAGCTATTTTCAAAAAAATATCAATTTTATATCTATATTAGCATTCTTTATCATTTATAATACCTAGATATGTTTTAAAATGCAATTTAAAGCATTTTTGGTTTTTGATCATACTAGGCTTTTTTCAAAAAAATATCGAATTTACATCTATATTAGCATTTGTTATCATTTATAATACCTTACTTACTTACTTCGCTGGCCGTACATTTATAATACCTAGATATGTTTTAAAATGCAATTTAAAGCATTTTTGGTTTTTGATCATAGTAGGCTATTTTCAAAATAATATCGAATTTACATCTATATTAGCATTTGTTATCATTTATAATACCTAGATATGTTTTAAAATGCAATTTAAAGCATTTTTGGTTTTAATCATAGTAGGCTATTTTCAAAAAAATATCGAATTTACATCTATATTAGCATTTGTTATCATTTATAATATCTAGATATGTTTTAAAATGCAATTTAAAGCATTTTTGGTTTTAATCATAGTAGGCTATTTTCAAAAAAATATCGAATTTACATCTATATTAGCATTTGTTATCATTTATAATACCTAGATATGTTTTAAAATGCAATTTAAAGCATTTTTGGTTTTTGATCATAGTAGGCTATTTTTAAAAAAATATCGATTTTATATCTGGGCAAGATCAGAAAAAAGGGAATAAATATTCAAATTCAGATTTCTCTGCTTTTAATAACTTAATTAATATGATTCCTTCACTACATGATAGCTAATAATAGTAAGTTTCTTTTTAACATTTATTTTTTAAAATGGCGGCTTATTAAGATAGTTTAATTAACAAATTAATATTTGAAATCGATTTTTCTTTGAGAAGAAAGCAAGATAAATGTTTGGAAGCTTGACAAAAGTTGTAGAGCTTGCTTTTTTCTATCATGTGATCAAAATAGATTTTATTAAAAATGAGTTATTTTAGTTAAATTAACTGAAAACCAAATTGAATGTAAAATGTATTTTTAAATCAAAACTATTAACCTTAATCGGTCAAGAACAATTACTTGATATCTAAAGAGTCTTTTACTATTTAATTTACATTCGAAAAAGGTTTAAAAGTAAGTTAAATTAACTATAAAAACAATGAAATTTAAGTTGAGCAACAAATTTTGCTCTTGTTTGCTCACAAATTTATAATTTTAAAAACCGTTACAAAATTTTTGGTCAAATTTTTTACTATAATTTAATTTTCTCTGCTTGTCTTGAACAAAAAGTAATATTTCTTTTGCAATATGATAAACATTGTTGAATTCTATAGTTTGAAATGAAAAAATCAGTAGACGAATAACACAGCAATGACTTATGACTAGTTTTGTAAAACTCATCATAACTTGTGTCAATTCACATTATGAATTAAAGTCAATTTAACGATATTTAGTCATTTTAAATTTAACGGAATTTTAAATATTTGAATTTGATTGATCTACTTAAGGTAGAACAAAATTTGACTAAACTCGTTCTCTTTAAAATAAAAAATCAAGGAAGAAGGAAGGAAGAAACAAAAGGAAATTAATTAAAAAGGGAAAAAGAGTAAGAAATCAACAAAAATTATATTGTAATTAAACTAACATGGTACATTTTACAGGATTAAAGTGAAAATAAATGAAAAATATTAAAATAAAATAAAACAAAAACACAAAATGAAATAAAAAATTAAAAAATTAAAATTGTGAATCAAAAATTAAATAAAAATTTAAAACAACACTTAAATCTCAAATTAAAATTAATATTTTAATTAATTTTCTTGTCGTAATCGACAATCTTTAATCTCTTTTTAAATAAAGAGAAAAGCAAAGAAAAAATATATATTCAAGAGTGAAAGAAAATTTTAACCTGCAATCTTGTGAGACGGATCTGAAGAGACACCAGAAGGAAATTAATAAAGTTAAGAAGAATGATAAACTGATTCGTCTAATGAAGGAGACAAATAAGTATAAAGCTTCAATTTTAATAAATTCATCATTTGGTGAGTGATGCAAAACATCCAGTAAAATAAATTGATCATTAAGATCACGTTTGTTATGTGTTTACATAATTTATTTAATCATTTAAAGCGATTTGCTTAAAGACGGATGCATAAACATCTAATTATTTAATTGAAACCAATAATTAATTTAGATTCACAAATCCAAAATAACTTACTTTTTACAGTTACTTGAAAGATCCAGTGGATCAAATTTGACATTTTTATTATTATTTATTCAATCGTTTGAAGTGATTTATCACTGATAGAAGTGACCTTTAAAGTTTTTATTAAATCAAAGGAAGAAATAATTTAAAAATCTTAAATTGTTAAGCAACACCAACATCCAGTAAAGATCTAGTTGATAGACTTTGTCATGCACACAATTTGTTAATCGTTTGAAGCGATTTCATAAAAGGAAGTGTATCATTGAGTAATAATCCATTCTTAGATGAGAATAGACATTTTACAAAATAACATAATGATAAATTTAAAAAATATAAAAGGAAAATTTTGATTAAGCAAATTCAGAAGTTGACAGTCAGCAGTAGACATCATAAATCAAATAATCTTAACTACAGTTAAGAACATAAGTATTCCCATCAAACTGCAAAGCTTATATATCAATTTAAATTAATCTAAATCGTACAAAAGACTCAAAGATGTCAAAAGCATCAATACAGAAAGTTAAACAAAAAAATAAAGTCACTATAGAAGTTGACGATTGTAAAATTCAAAATTTAAAGTCAAGAAAAAATTAATTTTTAAATTAAATCTAGAGTAATTTAAAGAAGTTCTATTTAAAAAATTAATGTTTAAACAAGATGACCACAAAATAATTTAATTAATTATTCTTAAGATTCTCCAAGTCTAAAAGACATAAATTCTCTCCAACATCAATTGTTATGATGCTATCATGACAAAATTATTCTCTTAAAAATAATCTAAACTTATTAAAGCGTAACAAACATTATGCAACAGTTGAAGATTCAAAAAACCAATTAAACGATCATTAAGATCACATAAATAAGGATTCATAAAAAATTGAATTCAATATTGGAAGCAACAACTTTCACTAAACTAATTCTCTACAAATGATCACAACGGTCAAAATAAATTCAAATATTTAACGGAAGTTCAAAATTTGAACTTACGCTCAAAAAATAATTCTTAACGGTAAAGATTCAAAAATAATCTGGCACTAAATAATCCAAAGTAAACAAACATTTAAATTTGGGTAAATTAATTAATTAAGCACGAAATAGTGCAATTAAAAATTATAAATACATATGCACAAAGATGCCAAAATAATAAAATCTAACAAAAATTTAATATTTCATTCTCTTGATTATAGGGCAAATAAAGGAGATTAAGCTGGTACATAAGGAAGTAACTGGAAATGATTGGGCAGTGATTCGCATTGCATTTTTGTCATCTACTTTAATCGAATTGATTAAGCAGAGATCCCAGAAAGTGAATGGAAGAAATGCGTACACTATACAGCTGAATGATAAGAATCTGCGATATGTAGTCGTCGACAATACCCTTGAACGATTCAAGCTAAAGAACGTAGCAAAGAATAGAAAGATGACGGATTTGGTTCTTATGGGTTCTTATGATAAAGATTTTAGAGGATGAAGACATCTATGATATCTCTTCAAAAATTGATGACTTTAACATTCCCATCAAATATATATCTTATTGTAAGACTTCAGTCTTTGTTGGATTCAGGACAAGAGAGCAATCAAAATTTATAAAGAACAAATTCATCGAGGCTGGTAGTGAAGCGCGTTATTCCTTAACTTATATGTATTTGGAGAGGTACAATCAGCAGACTAGTTATCAGACAAGTCAAAATCATCAACAGATAACAGCAACTGCAATGTCATTACCTCCATTTCCTCGATTTCAATCATATAACGCTCCTGTAACACCATCCAACAGTATCAATGCTTTAGGAAGCGGTTATATGGATTTGAGAAGTCAGTTGGACGAGAGTCGATTAGCAATGCAGCGCAACAATATAGTTAGAGGACTAGCTAATCAAAGCATGATCATTCCTGAGCTATTGCTGAGTATTTTAATATAAAAATTTCATTTGTTCCCAATTCAGGAAATATGTAATTTGGTTTTTCTTTTCTTCTCGAGTGTCAATTCACATTATGAATTAAAGTCAATTTAACGATATTTAGTCATTTTAAATTTAACGGAATTTTAAATATTTGAATTTGATTGATCTACTTAAGGTAGAACAAAATTTGACTAAACTCGTTCTCTTTAAAATAAAAAATCAAGGAAGAAGGAAGGAAGAAACAAAAGGAAATTAATTAAAAAGGGAAAAAGAGTAAGAAATCAACAAAAATTATATTGTAATTAAACTAACATGGTACATTTTACAGGATTAAAGTGAAAATAAATGAAAAATATTAAAATAAAATAAAACAAAAACACAAAATGAAATAAAAAATTTAAAAATTAAAATTGTGAATCAAAAATTAAATAAAAATTTAAAACAACACTTAAATCTCAAATTAAAATTAATATTTTAATTAATTTTCTTGTCGTAATCGACAACTTGGTTAATTATAGTAGAATTGAAAATTTTCTCTCACAAACTTAAAGAAAATTACATATGTTACCTTTTTTGTAAAGAAAGCTAGTTCCTAAACTATTTCCTTCATATCAAAATTTCAGCTTCAACATTTTAAAGCTGAATTAAGCTAACTTACAAATCCGCCATTTTGTATATTTTAGACAAAACTTTTAATGATCTGATTACTTAATTATCTGGTGAAAAATCGTTTTGATTAATGAAGTATTCGCAGAGATATTACATTTGCAACATGGTGTAAAATCGAATTTCCTCAAAATTGTTCGTGACGCTTAGCACTTTAAATTAATTTTTAATTATAATACAATGTTTAAGAGATACTTGTTATACACCAAAATATAGGTCTTGGCAAGGACTTTAAGAAAGACACAAGTCTTAAATACATATTTCGCATTATTGATTCAAAAATTGTAAATTATTGTTAAGCGTCACGAACAATTCATTTTTGATCTTGCCCATCTATATTAGCATTCTTTATCATTTATAATACCTAGATATGTTTTAAAATGCAATATAAAGCATTTTTGGTTTTAATCATAGTAGGCTATTTTCAAAAAAATATCGAATTTACATCTATATTAGCATTTGTTATCATTTTTAATACCTAGATATGTTTTAAAATGCAATTTAAAGCATTTTTGGTTTTTGATAATAGTAGGCTTTTTTCAAAATAATATCGATTTTACATCTCTATTAGCATTTGTTATCATTTATAATACCTAGATATGTTTTAAAATGCAATTTAAAGCATTTTTGGTTTTGATCATAGTAGGCTATTTTCAAAAAAATATCGATTTTATATCTATATTAGCATTCTTTATCATTTAAAATACCTAGATATGTTTTAAAATGCAATTTAAAGCATTTTTGGTTTTGATCATAGTAGGCTATTTTCAAAAAAATATCGATTTTATATCTATATTAGCATTCTTTATCATTTATAATACCTAGATATGTTTTAAAATGCAATTTAAAGCATTTTTGGTTTTGATCATAGTAGGCTATTTTCAAAAAAATATCGATTTTATATCTATATTAGCATTTTTTATCATTTATAATACCTAGATATGTTTTAAAATGCAATTTAAAGCATTTTTGGTTTTGATCATAGGAGGCTATTTTCAAAAAAATATCGATTTTATATCTATATTAGCATTCTTTATCATTTATAATACTTAGATATGTTTTAAATTGCAATTTAAAGCATTTTTGGTTTTTGATCATAGTAGGCTATTTTCAAAAAAATATCGATTTTATATCTATATTAGCATTCTTTATCATTAATACTACCTAGATATGTTTTAAAATGCAATTTAAAGCATTTTTGGTTTTTGATCATAGTAGGCTCTTTTCAAAAAAATATCGATTTTATATCTATATTAGCATTTGTTATCATTTATAATACCTAGATATGTTTTAAAATGCAATTTAAAGCATTTTTGGTTTTGATCATAGTAGGCTATTTTTAGGATGACCATCTAATTTTTATGAAAATACAGGACATTTGATAAATTTCCTAAAAAATACAGAACACAAAGGAAATTTTGAAAATTAACGGAAATTTTCGTAAAAAAAATACAAGATCTGGAACAAAATTTTCAAATTTATACAGGACAGGGTTTTGAAATACAGGACTGTCCGTTTTAAAACTACGCACATGGTCACCCTAGCTATTTTCAAAAATATATCGAATTTACATCTATATTAGCATTTGTTATGATTTATAATACCTAGATATGTTTTAAAATGCGATTTAAAGCATTTTTGGTTTTGATCATAGTAGGCTATTTTCAAAAAAATATCGATTTTTATATCTACATTAGCATTTTTTATCATTTATAATACCTAGATATGTTTTAAAATGCAATTTAAAGCATTTTTGGTTTTCATCATAGGAGGCTATTTTCAAAAAAATATCGATTTTATATCTATATTAGCATTTTTTATCATTTATAATACCTAGATATGTTTTAAAATGCAATTTAAAGCATTTTTGGTTTTGATCATAGTAGGCTATTTTCAAAAAATTATCGATTTTTATATCTACATTAGCATTTTTTATCATTTATAATACCTAGATATGTTTTAAAATGCAATTTAAAGCATTTTTGGTTTTCATCATAGGAGGCTATTTTCAAAAAAATATCGATTTTATATCTATATTAGCATTTTTTATCATTTATAATACCTAGATATGTTTTAAAATGCAATTTAAAGCATTTTTGGTTTTGATCATAGTAGGCTATTTTTAGGGTGACCATCTAATTTTTATGAAAATACAGGACATTTGATAAATTTCCTAAAAAATACAGAACACAAAGGAAATTTTGAAAATTAACGGAAATTTTCGTAAAAAAAATACAAGATCTGGAACAAAATTTTCAAATTTATACAGGACAGGGTTTTGAAATACAGGACTGTCCGTTTTAAAACTACGCACATGGTCACCCTAGCTATTTTCAAAAATATATCGAATTTACATCTATATTAGCATTTGTTATGATTTATAATACCTAGATATGTTTTAAAATGCAATTTAAAGCATTTTTGGTTTTGATCATAGTAGGCTATTTTCAAAAAAATATCGATTTTATATCTACATTAGCATTTTTTATGATTTATAATACCTAGATATGTTTTAAAATGCAATTTAAAGCATTTTTGGTTTTGATCATAGTAGGCTATTTTCAAAAAAAATATCGATTTTATATCTATATTAGCATTCTTTATCATTTATAATACCTAGATATGTTTTAAAATGCAATTTAAAGCATTTTTGGTTTTCATCATAGGAGGCTATTTTCAAAAAAATATCGATTTTATATCTATATTAGCATTCTTTATCATTTATAATACCTAGATATGTTTTGAAATGCAATTTAAAGCATTTTTGGTTTTTGATCATAGTAGGCTCTTTTCAAAAAAATATCGATTTTATATCTATATTAGCATTCTTTATCATTAATACTACCCAGATATGTTTTAAAATGCAATTTAAAGCATTTTCGGTTTTGATCATAGTAGGCTCTTTTCAAAAAAATATCGATTTTATATCTATATTAGCATTTGTTATCATTTATAATACCTAGATATGTTTTAAAATGCAATTTAAAGCATTTTTGGTTTTGATCATAGTAGGCTATTTTCAAAAAAAATATCGATTTTATATCTATATTAGCATTCTTTATCATTTATAATACCTAGATATGTTTTAAAATGCAATTTAAAGCATTTTTGGTTTTCATCATAGGAGGCTATTTTCAAAAAAATATCGATTTTATATCTATATTAGCATTCTTTATCATTTATAATACCTAGATATGTTTTGAAATGCAATTTAAAGCATTTTTGGTTTTTGATCATAGTAGGCTCTTTTCAAAAAAATATCGATTTTATATCTATATTAGCATTCTTTATCATTAATACTACCCAGATATGTTTTAAAATGCAATTTAAAGCATTTTCGGTTTTGATCATAGTAGGCTATTTTCAAAAAAATATCGATTTTATATCTACATTAGCATTTTTTATCATTTATAATACCTAGATATGTTTTAAAATGCAATTTAAAGCATTTTTGGTTTTGATCATAGTAGGCTATTTTCAAAAAAAATATCGATTTTATATCTATATTAGCATTCTTTATCATTTATAATACCTAGATATGTTTTAAAATGCAATTTAAAGCATTTTTGGTTTTCATCATAGGAGGCTATTTTCAAAAAAATATCGATTTTATATCTATATTAGCATTCTTTATCATTTATAATACCTAGATATGTTTTGAAATGCAATTTAAAGCATTTTTGGTTTTTGATCATAGTAGGCTCTTTTCAAAAAAATATCGATTTTATATCTATATTAGCATTCTTTATCATTAATACTACCCAGATATGTTTTAAAATGCAATTTAAAGCATTTTCGGTTTTGATCATAGTAGGCTCTTTTCAAAAAAATATCGATTTTATATCTATATTAGCATTCTTTATCATTAATACTACCCAGATATGTTTTAAAATGCAATTTAAAGCATTTTTGGTTTTGATCGTAGTAGGCTTTTTTGAAAAAAATATCGAATTTACATCTATATTAGCATTTGTTATCATTTATAATACCTAGATATGTTTTAAAATGCAATTTAAAGCATTTTTGGTTTTGATCGTAGTAGGCTACTTTCAAAAAAATATCGATTTTATATCTATATTAGCATTCTTTATCATTAATACTACCTAGATATGTTTTAAAATGCAATTTAAAGCATTTTCGGTTTTGATCATAGTAGGCTCTTTTCAAAAAAATATCGATTTTATATCTATATTAGCATTCTTTATCATTAATACTACCTAGATATGTTTTAAAATGCAATTTAAAGCATTTTTGGTTTTTGATCATAGTAGGATATTTTCAAAAAAATATCGAATTTACATCTATATTAGCATTTGTTATCATTTATAATACCTAGATATGTTTTAAAATGCAATTTACAGCATTTGTGGTTTTAATCGAAGTAGGCTATTTTCAAAAAAATAACGAATTTACATCTATATTAGCATTTGTTATCATTTATAATACCTAGATATGTTTTAAAATGCAATTTAAAGCATTTTTGGTTTTGATCATAGTAAGCTATTTTCAAAAAAATATCAATTTTATATCTATATTAGCATTCTTTATCATTTATAATACCTAGATATGTTTTAAAATGCAATTTAAAGCATTTGTGGTTTTAATCATAGTAGGCTATTTTCAAAAAAATATCGAATTTACATCTATATTAGCATTTGTTATCATTTATAATACCTAGATATGTTTTAAAATGCAATTTAAAGCATTTTTGGTTTTGATCATAGTAAGCTATTTTCAAAAAAATATCAATTTTATATCTATATTAGCATTCTTTATCATTTATAATACCTAGATATGTTTTAAAATGTAATTTAAAGCATTTTTGGTTTTGATCATAGTAGGCTATTTTCAAAAAAATATCGAATTTACATCTATATTAGCATTTGTTGTTATTTATAATACCTAGATATGTTTTAAAATGCAATTTAAAGCATTTTTGGTTTTGATCATAGTAAGCTATTTTCAAAAAAATATCAATTTTATATCTATATTAGCATTCTTTATCATTTATAATACCTAGATATGTTTTAAAATGCAATTTAAAGCATTTTTGGTTTTGATCATAGTAAGCTATTTTCAAAAAAATATCGATTTTATATCTATATTAGCATTCTTTATCATTTATAATACCTAGATATGTTTTAAAATGCAATTTAAAGCATTTTTGGTTTTTGATCATAGTAGGCTTTTTTCAAAAAAATATCGAATTTACATCTATATTAGCATTTGTTATCATTTATAATACCTAGATATGTTTTAAAATGCAATTTAAAGCATTTTTGGTTTTGATCATAGTAAGCTATTTTCAAAAAAATATCGATTTTATATCTATATTAGCATTCTTTATCATTTATAATACCTAGATATGTTTTAAAATGCAATTTAAAGCATTTTTGGTTTTTGATCATAGTAGGCTTTTTTCAAAAAAATATCGAATTTACATCTATATTAGCATTTGTTATCATTTATAATACCTAGATATGTTTTAAAATGCATTAAATCGAATTTACATCTATATTAGCATTTGTTATCATTTATAATACCTAGATATGTTTTAAAATGCAATTTAAAGCATTTTTGTTTTGATCATAGTAGGCTATTTTCAAAAAATATCGAATTTATATCTATATTAGCATTCTTTATCATTAATACTACCTAGATATGTTTTAAAATGCAATTTAAAGCATTTTTGGTTTTTGATCATAGTAGGCTATTTTCAAAATAATATCGAATTTACATCTATATTAGCATTTGTTATCATTTATAATACCTAGATATGTTTTAAAATGCAATTTAAAGCATTTTTGGTTTTAATCATAGTAGGCTATTTTCAAAAAAATATCGAATTTACATCTATATTAGCATTTGTTATCATTTATAATATCTAGATATGTTTTAAAATGCAATTTAAAGCATTTTTGGTTTTAATCATAGTAGGCTATTTTCAAAAAAATATCGAATTTACATCTATATTAGCATTTGTTATCATTTATAATACCTAGATATGTTTTAAAATGCAATTTAAAGCATTTTTGGTTTTTGATCATAGTAGGCTATTTTTAAAAAAATATCGATTTTATATCTGGGCAAGATCAGAAAAAAGGGAATAAATATTCAAATTCAGATTTCTCTGCTTTTAATAACTTAATTAATATGATTCCTTCACTACATGATAGCTAATAATAGTAAGTTTCTTTTTAACATTTATTTTTTAAAATGGCGGCTTATTAAGATAGTTTAATTAACAAATTAATATTTGAAATCGATTTTTCTTTGAGAAGAAAGCAAGATAAATGTTTGGAAGCTTGACAAAAGTTGTAGAGCTTGCTTTTTTCTATCATGTGATCAAAATAGATTTTATTAAAAATGAGTTATTTTAGTTAAATTAACTGAAAACCAAATTGAATGTAAAATGTATTTTTAAATCAAAACTATTAACCTTAATCGGTCAAGAACAATTACTTGATATCTAAAGAGTCTTTTACTATTTAATTTACATTCGAAAAAGGTTTAAAAGTAAGTTAAATTAACTATAAAAACAATGAAATTTAAGTTGAGCAACAAATTTTGCTCTTGTTTGCTCACAAATTTATAATTTTAAAAACCGTTACAAAATTTTTGGTCAAATTTTTTACTATAATTTAATTTTCTCTGCTTGTCTTGAACAAAAAGTAATATTTCTTTTGCAATATGATAAACATTGTTGAATTCTATAGTTTGAAATGAAAAAATCAGTAGACGAATAACACAGCAATGACTTATGACTAGTTTTGTAAAACTCATCATAACTTGTGTCAATTCACATTATGAATTAAAGTCAATTTAACGATATTTAGTCATTTTAAATTTAACGGAATTTTAAATATTTGAATTTGATTGATCTACTTAAGGTAGAACAAAATTTGACTAAACTCGTTCTCTTTAAAATAAAAAATCAAGGAAGAAGGAAGGAAGAAACAAAAGGAAATTAATTAAAAAGGGAAAAAGAGTAAGAAATCAACAAAAATTATATTGTAATTAAACTAACATGGTACATTTTACAGGATTAAAGTGAAAATAAATGAAAAATATTAAAATAAAATAAAACAAAAACACAAAATGAAATAAAAAATTAAAAAATTAAAATTGTGAATCAAAAATTAAATAAAAATTTAAAACAACACTTAAATCTCAAATTAAAATTAATATTTTAATTAATTTTCTTGTCGTAATCGACAATCTTTAATCTCTTTTTAAATAAAGAGAAAAGCAAAGAAAAAATATATATTCAAGAGTGAAAGAAAATTTTAATCTCAAATCTTGTGAGACGGATCTGAAGAGACACCAGAAGGAAATTAATAAAGTTAAGAAGAATGATAAACTGATTCGTCTAATGAAGGAGACAAATAAGTATAAAGCTTCAATTTTAATAAATTCATCATTTGGTGAGTGATGCAAAGCATCCAGTAAAATAAATTGATCATTAAGATCACGTTTGTTATGTGTTTACATAATTTATTTAATCATTTAAAGCGATTTGCTTAAAGACGGATGCATAAACATCTAATTATTTAATTGAAACCAATAATTAATTTAGATTCACAAATCCAAAATAACTTACTTTTTACAGTTACTTGAAAGATCCAGTGGATCAAATTTGACATTTTTATTATTATTTATTCAATCGTTTGAAGTGATTTATCACTGATAGAAGTGACCTTTAAATTTTTTATTAAATCAAAGGAAGAAATAATTTAAAAATCTTAAATTGTTAAGCAACACCAACATCCAGTAAAGATCTAGTTGATAGACTTTGTCATGCACACAATTTGTTAATCGTTTGAAGCGATTTCATAAAAGGAAGTGTATCATTGAGTAATAATCCATTCTTAGATGAGAATAGACATTTTACAAAATAACATAATGATAAATTTAAAAAATATAAAAGGAAAATTTTGATTAAGCAAATTCAGAAGTTGACAGTCAGCAGTAGACATCATAAATCAAATAATCTTAACTACAGTTAAGAACATAAGTATTCCCATCAAACTGCAAAGCTTATATATCAATTTAAATTAATCTAAATCGTACAAAAGACTCAAAGATGTCAAAAGCATCAATACAGAAAGTTAAACAAAAAAATAAAGTCACTATAGAAGTTGACGATTGTAAAATTCAAAATTTAAAGTCAAGAAAAAATTAATTTTTAAATTAAATCTAGAGTAATTTAAAGAAGTTCTATTTAAAAAATTAATGTTTAAACAAGATGACCACAAAATAATTTAATTAATTATTCTTAAGATTCTCCAAGTCTAAAAGACATAAATTCTCTCCAACATCAATTGTTATGATGCTATCATGACAAAATTATTCTCTTAAAAATAATCTAAACTTATTAAAGCGTAACAAACATTATGCAACAGTTGAAGATTCAAAAAACCAATTAAACGATCATTAAGATCACATAAATAAGGATTCATAAAAAATTGAATTCAATATTGGAAGCAACAACTTTCACTAAACTAATTCTCTACAAATGATCACAACGGTCAAAATAAATTCAAATATTTAACGGAAGTTCAAAATTTGAACTTACGCTCAAAAAATAATTCTTAACGGTAAAGATTCAAAAATAATCTGGCACTAAATAATCCAAAGTAAACAAACATTTAAATTTGGGTAAATTAATTAATTAAGCACGAAATAGTGCAATTAAAAATTATAAATACATATGCACAAAGATGCCAAAATAATAAAATCTAACAAAAATTTAATATTTCATTCTCTTGATTATAGGGCAAATAAAGGAGATTAAGCTGGTACATAAGGAAGTAACTGGAAATGATTGGGCAGTGATTCGCATTGCATTTTCGTCATCTACTTTAATCGAATTGATTAAGCAGAGATCCCAGAAAGTGAATGGAAGAAATGCGTACACTATACAGCTGAATGATAAGAATCTGCGATATGTAGTCGTCGACAATACCCTTGAACGATTCAAGCTAAAGAACGTAGCAAAGAATAGAAAGATGACGGATTTGGTTCTTATGGGTTCTTATGATAAAGATTTTAGAGGATGAAGACATCTATGATATCTCTTCAAAAATTGATGACTTTAACATTCCCATCAAATATATATCTTATTGTAAGACTTCAGTCTTTGTTGGATTCAGGACAAGAGAGCAATCAAAATTTATAAAGAACAAATTCATCGAGGCTGGTAGTGAAGCGCGTTATTCCTTAACTTATATGTATTTGGAGAGGTACAATCAGCAGACTAGTTATCAGACAAGTCAAAATCATCAACAGATAACAGCAACTGCAATGTCATTACCTCCATTTCCTCGATTTCAATCATATAACGCTCCTGTAACACCATCCAACAGTATCAATGCTTTAGGAAGCGGTTATATGGATTTGAGAAGTCAGTTGGACGAGAGTCGATTAGCAATGCAGCGCAACAATATAGTTAGAGGACTAGCTAATCAAAGCATGATCATTCCTGAGCTATTGCTGAGTATTTTAATATAAAAATTTCATTTGTTCCCAATTCAGGAAATATGTAATTTGGTTTTTCTTTTCTTCTCGAGTGTCAATTCACATTATGAATTAAAGTCAATTTAACGATATTTAGTCATTTTAAATTTAACGGAATTTTAAATATTTGAATTTGATTGATCTACTTAAGGTAGAACAAAATTTGACTAAACTCGTTCTCTTTAAAATAAAAAATCAAGGAAGAAGGAAGGAAGAAACAAAAGGAAATTAATTAAAAAGGGAAAAAGAGTAAGAAATCAACAAAAATTATATTGTAATTAAACTAACATGGTACATTTTACAGGATTAAAGTGAAAATAAATGAAAAATATTAAAATAAAATAAAACAAAAACACAAAATGAAATAAAAAATTTAAAAATTAAAATTGTGAATCAAAAATTAAATAAAAATTTAAAACAACACTTAAATCTCAAATTAAAATTAATATTTTAATTAATTTTCTTGTCGTAATCGACAACTTGGTTAATTATAGTAGAATTGAAAATTTTCTCTCACAAACTTAAAGAAAATTACATATGTTACCTTTTTTGTAAAGAAAGCTAGTTCCTAAACTATTTCCTTCATATCAAAATTTCAGCTTCAACATTTTAAAGCTGAATTAAGCTAACTTACAAATCCGCCATTTTGTATATTTTAGACAAAACTTTTAATGATCTGATTACTTAATTATCTGGTGAAAAATCGTTTTGATTAATGAAGTATTCGCAGAGATATTACATTTGCAACATGGTGTAAAATCGAATTTCCTCAAAATTGTTCGTGACGCTTAGCACTTTAAATTAATTTTTAATTATAATACAATGTTTAAGAGATACTTGTTATACACCAAAATATAGGTCTTGGCAAGGACTTTAAGAAAGACACAAGTCTTAAATACATATTTCGCATTATTGATTCAAAAATTGTAAATTATTGTTAAGCGTCACGAACAATTCATTTTTGATCTTGCCCATCTATATTAGCATTCTTTATCATTTATAATACCTAGATATGTTTTAAAATGCAATATAAAGCATTTTTGGTTTTAATCATAGTAGGCTATTTTCAAAAAAATATCGAATTTACATCTATATTAGCATTTGTTATCATTTTTAATACCTAGATATGTTTTAAAATGCAATTTAAAGCATTTTTGGTTTTTGATAATAGTAGGCTTTTTTCAAAATAATATCGATTTTACATCTCTATTAGCATTTGTTATCATTTATAATACCTAGATATGTTTTAAAATGCAATTTAAAGCATTTTTGGTTTTGATCATAGTAGGCTATTTTCAAAAAAATATCGATTTTATATCTATATTAGCATTCTTTATCATTTATAATACCTAGATATGTTTTAAAATGCAATTTAAAGCATTTTTGGTTTTGATCATAGTAGGCTATTTTCAAAAAAATATCGATTTTATATCTATATTAGCATTTTTTATCATTTATAATACCTAGATATGTTTTAAAATGCAATTTAAAGCATTTTTGGTTTTGATCATAGTAGGCTATTTTCAAAAAAATATCGATTTTATATCTATATTAGCATTCTTTATCATTTATAATACCTAGATATGTTTTAAAATGCAATTTAAAGCATTTTTGGTTTTGATCATAGTAGGCTATTTTCAAAAAAATATCGATTTTATATCTATATTAGCATTTTTTATCATTTATAATACCTAGATATGTTTTAAAATGCAATTTAAAGCATTTTTGGTTTTGATCATAGTAGGCTATTTTCAAAAAAATATCGATTTTATATCTATATTAGCATTTTTTATCATTTATAATACCTAGATATGTTTTAAAATGCAATTTAAAGCATTTTTGGTTTTGATCATAGGAGGCTATTTTCAAAAAAATATCGATTTTATATCTATATTAGCATTCTTTATCATTTATAATACTTAGATATGTTTTAAATTGCAATTTAAAGCATTTTTGGTTTTTGATCATAGTAGGCTATTTTCAAAAAAATATCGATTTTATATCTATATTAGCATTCTTTATCATTAATACTACCTAGATATGTTTTAAAATGCAATTTAAAGCATTTTTGGTTTTTGATCATAGTAGGCTCTTTTCAAAAAAATATCGATTTTATATCTATATTAGCATTTGTTATCATTTATAATACCTAGATATGTTTTAAAATGCAATTTAAAGCATTTTTGGTTTTGATCATAGTAGGCTATTTTTAGGATGACCATCTAATTTTTATGAAAATACAGGACATTTGATAAATTTCCTAAAAAATACAGAACACAAAGGAAATTTTGAAAATTAACGGAAATTTTCGTAAAAAAAATACAAGATCTGGAACAAAATTTTCAAATTTATACAGGACAGGGTTTTGAAATACAGGACTGTCCGTTTTAAAACTACGCACATGGTCACCCTAGCTATTTTCAAAAATATATCGAATTTACATCTATATTAGCATTTGTTATGATTTATAATACCTAGATATGTTTTAAAATGCGATTTAAAGCATTTTTGGTTTTGATCATAGTAGGCTATTTTCAAAAAATTATCGATTTTTATATCTACATTAGCATTTGTTATCATTTATAATACCTAGATATGTTTTAAAATGCAATTTAAAGCATTTTTGGTTTTGATCATAGTAGGCTATTTTCAAAAAAATATCGATTTTATATCTACATTAGCATTTTTTATCATTTATAATACCTAGATATGTTTTAAAATGCAATTTAAAGCATTTTTGGTTTTTGATAATAGTAGGCTTTTTTCAAAATAATATCGATTTTACATCTCTATTAGCATTTGTTATCATTTATAATACCTAGATATGTTTTAAAATGCAATTTAAAGCATTTTTGGTTTTGATCATAGTAGGCTATTTTCAAAAAAATATCGATTTTATATCTATATTAGCATTCTTTATCATTTATAATACCTAGATATGTTTTAAAATGCAATTTAAAGCATTTTTGGTTTTGATCATAGTAGGCTATTTTCAAAAAAATATCGATTTTATATCTATATTAGCATTTTTTATCATTTATAATACCTAGATATGTTTTAAAATGCAATTTAAAGCATTTTTGGTTTTGATCATAGTAGGCTATTTTCAAAAAAATATCGATTTTATATCTATATTAGCATTCTTTATCATTTATAATACCTAGATATGTTTTAAAATGCAATTTAAAGCATTTTTGGTTTTGATCATAGTAGGCTATTTTCAAAAAAATATCGATTTTATATCTATATTAGCATTTTTTATCATTTATAATACCTAGATATGTTTTAAAATGCAATTTAAAGCATTTTTGGTTTTGATCATAGTAGGCTATTTTCAAAAAAATATCGATTTTATATCTATATTAGCATTTTTTATCATTTATAATACCTAGATATGTTTTAAAATGCAATTTAAAGCATTTTTGGTTTTGATCATAGGAGGCTATTTTCAAAAAAATATCGATTTTATATCTATATTAGCATTCTTTATCATTTATAATACTTAGATATGTTTTAAATTGCAATTTAAAGCATTTTTGGTTTTTGATCATAGTAGGCTATTTTCAAAAAAATATCGATTTTATATCTATATTAGCATTCTTTATCATTAATACTACCTAGATATGTTTTAAAATGCAATTTAAAGCATTTTTGGTTTTTGATCATAGTAGGCTCTTTTCAAAAAAATATCGATTTTATATCTATATTAGCATTTGTTATCATTTATAATACCTAGATATGTTTTAAAATGCAATTTAAAGCATTTTTGGTTTTGATCATAGTAGGCTATTTTTAGGATGACCATCTAATTTTTATGAAAATACAGGACATTTGATAAATTTCCTAAAAAATACAGAACACAAAGGAAATTTTGAAAATTAACGGAAATTTTCGTAAAAAAAATACAAGATCTGGAACAAAATTTTCAAATTTATACAGGACAGGGTTTTGAAATACAGGACTGTCCGTTTTAAAACTACGCACATGGTCACCCTAGCTATTTTCAAAAATATATCGAATTTACATCTATATTAGCATTTGTTATGATTTATAATACCTAGATATGTTTTAAAATGCGATTTAAAGCATTTTTGGTTTTGATCATAGTAGGCTATTTTCAAAAAATTATCGATTTTTATATCTACATTAGCATTTGTTATCATTTATAATACCTAGATATGTTTTAAAATGCAATTTAAAGCATTTTTGGTTTTGATCATAGTAGGCTATTTTCAAAAAAATATCGATTTTATATCTACATTAGCATTTTTTATCATTTATAATACCTAGATATGTTTTAAAATGCAATTTAAAGCATTTTTGGTTTTGATCATAGTAGGCTATTTTCAAAAAAATATCGATTTTATATCTATATTAGCATTTTTTATCATTTATAATACCTAGATATGTTTTAAAATGCAATTTAAAGCATTTTTGGTTTTCATCATAGGAGGCTATTTTCAAAAAAATATCGATTTTATATCTATATTAGCATTCTTTATCATTTATAATACCTAGATATGTTTTGAAATGCAATTTAAAGCATTTTTGGTTTTTGATCATAGTAGGCTCTTTTCAAAAAAATATCGATTTTATATCTATATTAGCATTCTTTATCATTAATACTACCCAGATATGTTTTAAAATGCAATTTAAAGCATTTTCGGTTTTGATCATAGTAGGCTCTTTTCAAAAAAATATCGATTTTATATCTATATTAGCATTTGTTATCATTTATAATACCTAGATATGTTTTAAAATGCAATTTAAAGCATTTTTGGTTTTGATCGTAGTAGGCTACTTTCAAAAAAATATCGATTTTATATCTATATTAGCATTCTTTATCATTAATACTACCTAGATATGTTTTAAAATGCAATTTAAAGCATTTTCGGTTTTGATCATAGTAGGCTCTTTTCAAAAAAATATCGATTTTATATCTATATTAGCATTCTTTATCATTAATACTACCTAGATATGTTTTAAAATGCAATTTAAAGCATTTTTGGTTTTGATCATAGTAGGCTATTTTCAAAAAAATATCGATTTTATATCTATATTAGCATTTTTTATCATTTATAATACCTAGATATGTTTTAAAATGCAATTTAAAGAATTTTTGGTTTTCATCATAGGAGGCTATTTTCAAAAAAATATCGATTTTATATCTATATTAGCATTTTTTATCATTTATAATACCTAGATATGTTTTAAAATGCAATTTAAAGCATTTTTGGTTTTCATCATAGGAGGCTATTTTCAAAAAAATATCGATTTTATATCTATATTAGCATTCTTTATCATTTATAATACCTAGATATGTTTTGAAATGCAATTTAAAGCATTTTTGGTTTTTGATCATAGTAGGCTCTTTTCAAAAAAATATCGATTTTATATCTATATTAGCATTCTTTATCATTAATACTACCCAGATATGTTTTAAAATGCAATTTAAAGCATTTTCGGTTTTGATCATAGTAGGCTCTTTTCAAAAAAATATCGATTTTATATCTATATTAGCATTTGTTATCATTTATAATACCTAGATATGTTTTAAAATGCAATTTAAAGCATTTGTGGTTTTAATCGAAGTAGGCTATTTTCAAAAAAATATCGAATTTACATCTATATTAGCATTTGTTATCATTTATAATACCTAGATATGTTTTAAAATGCAATTTAAAGCATTTTTGGTTTTGATCATAGTAAGCTATTTTCAAAAAAATATCAATTTTATATCTATATTAGCATTCTTTTTCATTTATAATACCTAGATATGTTTTAAAATGTAATTTAAAGCATTTTTGGTTTTGATCATAGTAGGCTATTTTCAAAAAAATATCGAATTTACATCTATATTAGCATTTGTTGTTATTTATAATACCTAGATATGTTTTAAAATGCAATTTAAAGCATTTTTGGTTTTGATCATAGTAAGCTATTTTCAAAAAAATATCAATTTTATATCTATATTAGCATTCTTTATCATTTATAATACCTAGATATGTTTTAAAATGTAATTTAAAGCATTTTTGGTTTTGATCATAGTAGGCTATTTTCAAAAAAATATCGAATTTACATCTATATTAGCATTTGTTGTTATTTATAATACCTAGATATGTTTTAAAATGCAATTTAAAGCATTTTTGGTTTTGATCATAGTAAGCTATTTTCAAAAAAATATCAATTTTATATCTATATTTGCATTCTTTATCATTTATAATACCTAGATATGTTTTAAAATGCAATTTAAAGCATTTTTGGTTTCGATCAAAGTAAGCTATTTTCAAAAAAATATTAATTTTATATCTATATTAGCATTCTTTATCATTTATAATACCGAGATATGTTTTAAAATGCAATTTAAAGCATTTTTGGTTTTTGATCATAGTAGGCTTTTTTCAAAAAAATATCGAATTTACATCTATATTAGCATTTGTTATCATTTATAATACCTAGATATGTTTTAAAATGCATTAAATCGAATTTACATCTATATTAGCATTTGTTATCATTTATAATACCTAGATATGTTTTAAAATGCAATTTAAAGCATTTTTGTTTTGATCATAGTAGGCTATTTTCAAAAAATATCGAATTTATATCTATATTAGCATTTTTTATCATTTATAATACCTAGATATGTTTTAAAATGCAATTTAAAGCATTTCTGGTTTTGATAATAGTAGGCTATTTTCAAAATAATATCGATTTTATATCTATATTAGCATTTGTTATCATTTATAATACCTAGATATGTTTTAAAATGCAATTTAAAGCATTTTTGGTTTCGATCATAGTAGGCTATTTTCAAAAAACATATCGATTTTATATCTACATTAGCATTCTTTATCATTTATATTACCTAGATATGTTTTAAAATGCAATTTAAAGCATTTTTGGTTTTAATCATAGTAGGCTATTTTCAAAAAAATATCGAATTTACATCTATATTAGCATTTGTTATCATTTATAATACCTAGATATGTTTTAAAATGCAATTTAAAGCATTTTTGGTTTTTGATCATAGTAGGCTATTTTCAAAAAAATATCGATTTTATATCTGGGCAAGATCAGAAAAAAGGGAATAAATATTCAAATTCAGATTTCTCTGCTTTTAATAACTTAATTAATATGATTCCTTCACTACATGATAGCTAATAATAGTAAGTTTCTTTTTAACATTTATTTTTTAAAATGGCGGCTTATTAAGATAGTTTAATTAACAAATTAATATTTGAAATCGATTTTTCTTTGAGAAGAAAGCAAGATAAATGTTTGGAAGCTTGACAAAAGTTGTAGAGCTTGCTTTTTTCTATCATGTGATCAAAATAGATTTTATTAAAAATGAGTTATTTTAGTTAAATTAACTGAAAACCAAATTGAATGTAAAATGTATTTTTAAATCAAAACTATTAACCTTAATCGGTCAAGAACAATTACTTGATATCTAAAGAGTCTTTTACTATTTAATTTACATTCGAAAAAGGTTTAAAAGTAAGTTAAATTAACTATAAAAACAATGAAATTTAAGTTGAGCAACAAATTTTGCTCTTGTTTGCTCACAAATTTATAATTTTAAAAACCGTTACAAAATTTTTGGTCAAATTTTTTACTATAATTTAATTTTCTCTGCTTGTCTTGAACAAAAAGTAATATTTCTTTTGCAATATGATAAACATTGTTGAATTCTATAGTTTGAAATGAAAAAATCAGTAGACGAATAACACAGCAATGACTTATGACTAGTTTTGTAAAACTCATCATAACTTGTGTCAATTCACATTATGAATTAAAGTCAATTTAACGATATTTAGTCATTTTAAATTTAACGGAATTTTAAATATTTGAATTTGATTAATCTACTTAAGGTAGAACAAAATTTGACTAAACTCGTTCTCTTTAAAATAAAAAATCAAGGAAGAAGGAAGGAAGAAACAAAAGGAAATTAATTAAAAAGGGAAAAAGAGTAAGAAATCAACAAAAATTATATTGTAATTAAACTAACATGGTACATTTTACAGGATTAAAGTGAAAATAAATGAAAAATATTAAAATAAAATAAAACAAAAACACAAAATGAAATAAAAAATTAAAAAATTAAAATTGTGAATCAAAAATTAAATAAAAATTTAAAACAACACTTAAATCTCAAATTAAAATTAATATTTTAATTAATTTTCTTGTCGTAATCGACAATCTTTAATCTCTTTTTAAATAAAGAGAAAAGCAAAGAAAAAATATATATTCAAGAGTGAAAGAAAATTTTAATCTCAAATCTTGTGAGACGGATCTGAAGAGACACCAGAAGGAAATTAATAAAGTTAAGAAGAATGATAAACTGATTCGTCTAATGAAGGAGACAAATAAGTATAAAGCTTCAATTTTAATAAATTCATCATTTGGTGAGTGATGCAAAACATCCAGTAAAATAAATTGATCATTAAGATCACGTTTGTTATGTGTTTACATAATTTATTTAATCATTTAAAGCGATTTGCTTAAAGACGGATGCATAAACATCTAATTATTTAATTGAAACCAATAATTAATTTAGATTCACAAATCCAAAATAACTTACTTTTTACAGTTACTTGAAAGATCCAGTGGATCAAATTTGACATTTTTATTATTATTTATTCAATCGTTTGAAGTGATTTATCACTGATAGAAGTGACCTTTAAAGTTTTTATTAAATCAAAGGAAGAAATAATTTAAAAATCTTAAATTGTTAAGCAACACCAACATCCAGTAAAGATCTAGTTGATAGACTTTGTCATGCACACAATTTGTTAATCGTTTGAAGCGATTTCATAAAAGGAAGTGTATCATTGAGTAATAATCCATTCTTAGATGAGAATAGACATTTTACAAAATAACATAATGATAAATTTAAAAAATATAAAAGGAAAATTTTGATTAAGCAAATTCAGAAGTTGACAGTCAGCAGTAGACATCATAAATCAAATAATCTTAACTACAGTTAAGAACATAAGTATTCCCATCAAACTGCAAAGCTTATATATCAATTTAAATTAATCTAAATCGTACAAAAGACTCAAAGATGTCAAAAGCATCAATACAGAAAGTTAAACAAAAAAATAAAGTCACTATAGAAGTTGACGATTGTAAAATTCAAAATTTAAAGTCAAGAAAAAATTAATTTTTAAATTAAATCTAGAGTAATTTAAAGAAGTTCTATTTAAAAAATTAATGTTTAAACAAGATGACCACAAAATAATTTAATTAATTATTCTTAAGATTCTCCAAGTCTAAAAGACATAAATTCTCTCCAACATCAATTGTTATGATGCTATCATGACAAAATTATTCTCTTAAAAATAATCTAAACTTATTAAAGCGTAACAAACATTATGCAACAGTTGAAGATTCAAAAAACCAATTAAACGATCATTAAGATCACATAAATAAGGATTCATAAAAAATTGAATTCAATATTGGAAGCAACAACTTTCACTAAACTAATTCTCTACAAATGATCACAACGGTCAAAATAAATTCAAATATTTAACGGAAGTTCAAAATTTGAACTTACGCTCAAAAAATAATTCTTAACGGTAAAGATTCAAAAATAATCTGGCACTAAATAATCCAAAGTAAACAAACATTTAAATTTGGGTAAATTAATTAATTAAGCACGAAATAGTGCAATTAAAAATTATAAATACATATGCACAAAGATGCCAAAATAATAAAATCTAACAAAAATTTAATATTTCATTCTCTTGATTATAGGGCAAATAAAGGAGATTAAGCTGGTACATAAGGAAGTAACTGGAAATGATTGGGCAGTGATTCGCATTGCATTTTCGTCATCTACTTTAATCGAATTGATTAAGCAGAGATCCCAGAAAGTGAATGGAAGAAATGCGTACACTATACAGCTGAATGATAAGAATCTGCGATATGTAGTCGTCGACAATACCCTTGAACGATTCAAGCTAAAGAACGTAGCAAAGAATAGAAAGATGACGGATTTGGTTCTTATGGGTTCTTATGATAAAGATTTTAGAGGATGAAGACATCTATGATATCTCTTCAAAAATTGATGACTTTAACATTCCCATCAAATATATATCTTATTGTAAGACTTCAGTCTTTGTTGGATTCAGGACAAGAGAGCAATCAAAATTTATAAAGAACAAATTCATCGAGGCTGGTAGTGAAGCGCGTTATTCCTTAACTTATATGTATTTGGAGAGGTACAATCAGCAGACTAGTTATCAGACAAGTCAAAATCATCAACAGATAACAGCAACTGCAATGTCATTACCTCCATTTCCTCGATTTCAATCATATAACGCTCCTGTAACACCATCCAACAGTATCAATGCTTTAGGAAGCGGTTATATGGATTTGAGAAGTTAGTTGGACGAGAGTCGATTAGCAATGCAGCGCAACAATATAGTTAGAGGACTAGCTAATCAAAGCATGATCATTCCTGAGCTATTGCTGAGTATTTTAATATAAAAATTTCATTTGTTCCTAATTCAGGAAATATGTAATTTGGTTTTTCTTTCCTTCTCGAGTGTCAATTCACATTATGAATTAAAGTCAATTTAACGATATTTAGTCATTTTAAATTTAACGGAATTTTAAATATTTGAATTTGATTGATCTACTTAAGGTAGAACAAAATTTGACTAAACTCGTTCTCTTTAAAATAAAAAATCAAGGAAGAAGGAAGGAAGAAACAAAAGGAAATTAATTAAAAAGGGAAAAAGAGTAAGAAATCAACAAAAATTATATTGTAATTAAACTAACATGGTACATTTTACAGGATTAAAGTGAAAATAAATGAAAAATATTAAAATAAAATAAAACAAAAACACAAAATGAAATAAAAAATTTAAAAATTAAAATTGTGAATCAAAAATTAAATAAAAATTTAAAACAACACTTAAATCTCAAATTAAAATTAATATTTTAATTAATTTTCTTGTCGTAATCGACAACTTGGTTAATTATAGTAGAATTGAAAATTTTCTCTCACAAACTTAAAGAAAATTACATATGTTACCTTTTTTGTAAAGAAAGCTAGTTCCTAAACTATTTCCTTCATATCAAAATTTCAGCTTCAACATTTTAAAGCTGAATTAAGCTAACTTACAAATCCGCCATTTTGTATATTTTAGACAAAACTTTTAATGATCTGATTACTTAATTATCTGGTGAAAAATCGTTTTGATTAATGAAGTATTCGCAGAGATATTACATTTGCAACATGGTGTAAAATCGAATTTCCTCAAAATTGTTCGTGACGCTTAGCACTTTAAATTAATTTTTAATTATAATACAATGTTTAAGAGATACTTGTTATACACCAAAATATAGGTCTTGGCAAGGACTTTAAGAAAGACACAAGTCTTAAATACATATTTCGCATTATTGATTCAAAAATTGTAAATTATTGTTAAGCGTCACGAACAATTCATTTTTGATCTTGCCCATCTATATTAGCATTCTTTATCATTTATAATACCTAGATATGTTTTAAAATGCAATATAAAGCATTTTTGGTTTTAATCATAGTAGGCTATTTTCAAAAAAATATCGAATTTACATCTATATTAGCATTTGTTATCATTTTTAATACCTAGATATGTTTTAAAATGCAATTTAAAGCATTTTTGGTTTTTGATAATAGTAGGCTTTTTTCAAAATAATATCGATTTTACATCTCTATTAGCATTTGTTATCATTTATAATACCTAGATATGTTTTAAAATGCAATTTAAAGCATTTTTGGTTTTGATCATAGTAGGCTATTTTCAAAAAAATATCGATTTTATATCTATATTAGCATTCTTTATCATTTATAATACCTAGATATGTTTTAAAATGCAATTTAAAGCATTTTTGGTTTTGATCATAGTAGGCTATTTTCAAAAAAATATCGATTTTATATCTATATTAGCATTTTTTATCATTTATAATACCTAGATATGTTTTAAAATGCAATTTAAAGCATTTTTGGTTTTGATCATAGTAGGCTATTTTCAAAAAAATATCGAATTTACATCTATATTAGCATTTGCTATGATTTATAATACCTAGATATGTTTTAAAATGCGATTTAAAGCATTTTTGGTTTTGATCATAGTAGGCTTTTTTCAAAAAAATATCGATTTTATATCTATATTATTATTTGTTTTCATTTATAATACCTAGATATGTTTTAAAATGCAATTTAAAGCATTTTTGGTTTTGATCATAGTAGGCTATTTTCAAAAAAATATCGAATTTACATCTATATTAGCATTTATTATCATTTATAATACCTAGATATGTTTTAAAATGCGATTTAAAGCATTTTTGGTTTTGATCATAGTAGGCTTTTTTCAAAAAAATATCGATTTTATATCTATATTATTATTTGTTTTCATTTATAATACCTAGATATGTTTTAAAATGCAATTTAAAGCATTTTTGGTTTTAATCATAGTAGGCTATTTTCAAAAAAATATCGAATTTATATCTATATTAGCATTTGTTATCATTTATAATACCTAGATATGTTTTAAAATGCGATTTAAAGCATTTTTGGTTTTGATCATAGTAGGCTTTTTTCAAAAAAATATCGATTTTATATCTATATTAGCATTTGTTATCATTTATAATACCTAGATATGTTTTAAAATGCAATTTAAAGCATTTTTGGTTTTTGATCATAGTAGGCTATTTTCAAAAAAAAAACGATTTTATATCTATATTAGTATTTTTCTTCATTTATAATGCCTAGATATGTTTTAAAATGCGATTTAAAGCATTTTTGGTTTTGATCATAGTAGGCTATTTTCAAAAAAATATCGAATTTACATCTATATTAGCATTTTTTATCATTTATAATACCTAGATATGTTTTAAAATGCAATTTAAAGCATTTTTGGTTTCGATCATAGTAGGCTATTTTCAAAAAATATCGAATTTATATCTATATTAGCATTTGTTATCATTTATAATACCTAGATATGTTTTAAAATGCAATTTAAAGCATTTTTGGTTTCGATCATAGTAGGCTATTTTCAAAAAATATCGAATTTATATCTATATTAGCATTTGTTATCATTTATAATACCTAGATATGTTTTAAAATGCAATTTAAAGCATTTTTGGTTTTCATCATAGTAGGCTATTTTCAAAAAATATCGAATTTATATCTATATTAGCATTTGTTATCATTTATAATACCTAGATATGTTTTAAAATGCAATTTAAAGCATTTTTGGTTTTTGATCACAGTAGGCTATTTTCAAAAAAATATCGATTTTATATCTATATTAGCATTCTTTATTATTTATAATACCTAGATATGTTTTAAAATGCAATTTAAAGCATTTTTGGTTTTTGATAATAGTAGGCTTTTTTCAAAAAAATTTCGATTTTACATCTATATTAGCATTTGTTATCATTTATAATACCTAGATATGTTTTAAAATGCAATTTAAAGCATTTTTGGTTTTTGATCACAGTAGGCTATTTTCAAAAAAATATCGATTTTATATCTATATTAGCATTCTTATCATTTATAATACCTAGATATGTTTTAAAATGCAATTTAAAGCATTTTTGGTTTTTGATAATAGTAGGCTTTTTTCAAAAAAATTTCGATTTTACATCTATATTAGCATTTGTTATCATTTATAATACCTAGATATGTTTTAAAATGCAATTTAAAGCATTTTTGGTTTTAATCATAGTAGGCTTTTTTCGAAAAAATTATCGAATTTACATCTATATTAGCATTTGTTATGATTTATAATACCAGATATGTTTTAAAATATGATTTAAATCATTTTTGGTTTTGATCATAGTAGGCTATTTTCAAAAAAATATCGATTTTATATCTATATTAGCATTCTTTATCATTTATAATACCTAGATATGTTTTAAAATGCAATTTAAAGCATTTTTGGTTTTTGATAATAGTAGGCTTTTTTCAAAAAAATTTCGATTTTACATCTATATTAGCATTTGTTATCATTTATAATACCTAGATATGTTTTAAAATGCAATTTAAAGCATTTTTGGTTTTTGATCACAGTAGGCTATTTTCAAAAAAATATCGATTTTATATCTTTATTAGCATTCTTTATCATTTATAATACCTAGATATGTTTTAAAATGCGATTTAAAGCATTTTTGGTTTTTGATCACAGTAGGCTATTTTCAAAAAAATATCGATTTTATATCTTTATTAGCATTCTTTATGACTTATAATACCCAGATATGTTTTAAAATGCAATTTAAAGCATTTTTAGTTTTGATCAAAGTAGACTATTTTGAAAAAAATGTCGATTTTATATCTATATTAGCATTTGTTATCATTTATAATACCTAGATATGTTTTAAAATGCAATTTAAAGCATTTTTGGTTTTTGATCACAGTAGGCTATTTTCAAAAAAATATCGATTTTATATCTTTATTAGCATTCTTTATCATTTATAATACCTAGATATGTTTTAAAATGCGATTTAAAGCATTTTTGGTTTTTGATCACAGTAGGCTATTTTCAAAAAAATATCGATTTTATATCTTTATTAGCATTCTTTATGACTTATAATACCCAGATATGTTTTAAAATGCAATTTAAAGCATTTTTGGTTTTTGATCATAGGAGGCTCCTTTCAAAAAAATATCGAATTTACATCTATATTAGCATTTGTTATCATTTATAATACCTAGATATGTTTTAAAATGCAATTTAAAGCATTTTTGGTTTCGATCATAGTAGGCTATTTTCAAAAAATATCGAATTTATATCTATATTAGCATTTGTTATCATTTATAATACCTAGATATGTTTTAAAATGCAATTTAAAGCATTTTTTGTTTTAATCATAGTAGGCTATTTTCAAAAAAATATCGAATTTTCATCTATATTAGCATTTGTTATCATTTATAATAGCTAGATATGTTTTAAAATGCAATTTAAAGCATTTTTGTTTTTGATCATAGTAGGCTTTTTTCAAAAAAATATCGATTTTATATCTATATTAGCATTCTTTATCATTTATAATACCTAGATATGTTTTAAAATGCAATTTAAAGCATTTTTGGTTTTTGATCACAGTAGGCTATTTTCAAAAAAATATCGATTTTATATCTATATTAGCATTCTTTATCATTTATAATACCTAGATATGTTTTAAAATGCAATTTAAAGCATTTTTGGTTTTTGATCACAGTAGGCTATTTTCAAAAAAATATCGATTTTATATCTATATTAGCATTCTTTATGACTTATAATACCCAGATATGTTTTAAAATGCAATTTAAAGCATTTTTGGTTTTGATCAAAGTAGACTATTTTGAAAAAAATGTCGATTTTATATCTATATTAGCATTCTTTATCATTTATAATGCCTAGATATGTTTTAAAATGCAATTTAAAGCATTTTTGGTTTTTAATCATAGTAGGCTATTTTCAAAAAAATATCGAT